CTCCTTAGGATACGCCAGTAGGTCATAATCACTGCGTTTAAGTGGAACATCTCTGATCTTTGCTAAGTTCTTTATGTAAGACTGGGGTATCAGCACATGTACAGGCAAGCCAGCCAGACTCTTGATCAGCAGCTACTTTTTGGCCGAGTACAAAGGCCGTACTCCAACACAAAACTTTGGTATCTGTTCATTCTTGATGATATCACTTTCTCATTGATAGCAGAGATTATCTCAGATGGGATGCAATTCGGCTGCACTTTCCAGAAGGAGTCCTCGGGTGCAATTAGTCTGAACACCACCGGCATCCCCGAAGCTCGGTTCTTGTGATGGCTGACCACCGTGTAAGCTCCCTCGTTTTCCTTTGGTGCTTCTCTATCCATCTGTGCCATGTCATTAATGAAGTATGTCAATGCGGGGTCATAGTTGTCAACCTCTTCTCCCTCCTCTGTATGCCTCTTCTTACAATGCGAGGCCTCGCTGTTTTCTGTATGGGACGTTGCTATCGTTGCTGTTCCTGCAGCAGCAACATTAGGCGGAGTGGGATGAATAAGTGGTGCTCCGCTTGACGCTAGTGGCATCTCGTTGTCCCTCATGCCCGGGCTTTGCCAGGTATGTGGCACGTGCCCCCTAAGGGGCAATTTTGAACTCGGTGCATAGTGAAACTCCGACTGCCCTGATGTGTAGCTGCCACTATGTAGACAGTCCACCCATCACACACACCGTAAAAAGATCCCGAACTCAATATAATAACAGAATATACGAAAGGTCGTATGGGCGAATGAATGATTGTAGTCGCATCGAAACGCAATGATGTACAAGTGAGGCTAGTGCTCACTGCCATCCTTCTACGCAGGGGAAGAAGTAGCACTACGTAGCTCATGAACCAAATATTTTCTAAATGTGGTCGCTCTTAAGGGGACGAGCGATTCAATAACAAAAAAGATGGACTTATTTGTAGCCTGGGGCAACAAAATTTTGGCTGTGTATATAGGCTGGTATGCTGATTTCAAATATGTAATTCATTTTATAGTAAGTTCGAAGGAACCGCCTAACCCTATGGGGGATCAGTGAGCCGGAATTCGTAGGACACGTGCCAGTAACGCTGCGAACAAGAACCGTTTTATTCACGATTCAAAAGGATCCCAGCCTGCCTGCCGGATCGGCATGACACGGCACTGACGCACACCGGATGACCAAAATCCACTCTCCTTAGGGGACGCCCCAAACCAGCGTGACTTCTGCTTTGCAGCACTCGCGGATGAAGTAGAACACCATCGCGCTTTGCGCGGCCGTCCTCGCATCCCATCACCCTCCCTCTTATCGGCTGGCCATTTTGGTCAGATTTGGGTGCACGTTAAATAACCCCAGTTGGTCGAAATTTCCGGAGCCCTCCACTACAGCGTCTCTCATAATCATATCGTGGTTTTGGGACGTTAAACCCCACAAATCAATCAGATCTTAGGGTAGAATTCATGATATTGCCACGTTCATTTCCTCAAGTTTTATTATCGCCCCGTTACACTATGTTCAGCGCAAACCACGCCGACGATCTTCGAGGAGCTTTGAGGCTGTAGTAGATTGTTTTTTTTAAGACTACGCCCACTTTGCGAATATTAGAGATTATTCAGAAATTTACGTGGCTGCTAGCGATAACGCTAGAATATTCGACGGCACGTGTCTAAATAGCGCCGCTTTGCGCCGCTTGTAACGGCCAGACGCTTTGCTCGCCGCTAAAAGTTCCAGTGTCTTGCTGTAATCTGACTTTCCTTTATCGTGACCTCAAGTACGGCTCTTTTCGTCCACGTCATGACCCGGGACAATATGCGAGCGGATTTAGATAAGTATCGGTCATTAGCTGCCACCAAGTGACAGCTTGGGTTCTCATAAATTGTTTTGGGCACAGTGAAACACCATCGGGCCAGACAAAAAGCCTCATTTGTCTCATCGTAGCCCATTAGCCTGTCCAATACTGCGTAAACTACGAGGGTTGTGTGGCACCATGCCTTACTTTAGGTCACTGTCTGTGCCTCGTTCTTCTTACGGCTTTACCCATTTTTTTTTCTATTAACCACCTGGTGTGATTCTATCGAGGTTGTGAAACTTTATAGTGTCCATCTTAACACCAGCTTTGGAGCTTCACCAGTGTTTTTACAACTGCGTGCTGGAAACCAACGTGCTAAGAAACCTGGGCGGCTTCATCGGCATGTACGTCGGCCTGTCGTTCCTGGTCGTTTTCCAAGTCCTCGACGTCTTGGTCGTCGGCACGCTGCGGCTCTGGAAGATGCTACGCATAAGTGCACTTGAGTGCCGCGAGGTGGCGCTCTTGCCCGAACGGGTGCCAATCCAGGGCCGCTGTACACAACTGGTGCATGTCAACTTCATTGATGTCCTCACGTTCATACTATGCTCATAACTTACACATTGGGAAGCTTCGACAAAGCAGCACAATATTCGGTGCAGCTCATGTTCTGTAACGCATTCAATATTTCACGCCTCGGTGGCATTTTCTTTACGTCAAGCCATAACGAAGTGGTATAGGTATACATCAGACCTTGAGAAAAAAAAACAGCTGAGCCAGGCAAAATAAATAATTAAATAATTATTAAACCCACCTGTCCTTTGGTTGTTGTTGTTGTTATTTTATTTGTCCGGTTCAGCTGTATTTTCTTTTTCCAGTGCGAAAAGTCATGAGCTCCCGTTCTCGGTGGTTTCAGGTGACCCTGAGTCAAATGCTAGTGCCGTTATCATGGCAATTAAAACGAGACGTCCGGGCAATCAGCCCATAAGTTCTCAAAAGCACGGACGATGGAAGTCAACGCTTCGCCTTCAAGAGTACAACGCGACAGCGTAATCGGGGCTTATTCGCATAGCCTTTTTTAGTGGACCCCTCAACCTTGCTTCAAGTAAAAAAAACATATTTGAGCGTGCAAAGTGGCTATTTCATACGATCCTAGAATTCCTACGACAAGTACAGTTGCGAAGTGCCCACTATGACATAATTCTACCTTTTGCCAATATACGAAGTACCCATTACGCAAAGCAACACCTGAACCTGCTCCGTTACTCACGTTATTGATGCTGTTGCAGATAATGATCATTAATTATACCTGTGCACACTGTGAGTGGTTGACATTTAAACCAACCACTCTTGGCGCGACTCGCATGTTTTAACGTTTGTATGTCTGTCTGCCTGTTATAATCGCACCATCTGTCCTCTCTAATTGACAACTATACGAAAACCACTAACGCCATCAAGCCATATTATTTCCAAAGACGTATACACAACGCCATCTAATGAGAAATTCTTGAAACTGACTAGACTGCTACAACACACTACGAGAGAACGATCCACACCCTAAGAAACTTCGTTTTTAAAACATACCACCAACCCTTAGTGGTGCATAGATTGTGGGAATCCAACATTTTCCCTCCCCCAAGGATAGAATCCCGAAGGGTGTGAATAAAGTGAGCTAGAATAGAAAAATTGAGCTAGAATTAAAGTGAGCTAGAACCCTATTCTAGCTCACTTTAGTGTGATCCACCATCAGCGAAACAGGATGTGTGTGATCCACCATCAGTGGATCACACACATGCTGTTCCGAGCATGCACAAAGAATGTACTAACACATCTACCGCTTTGGTGGGTGTGTGAAGATCATCTGTAAGCCAGGGCAATCCCATTCAGCACTCGTTTATTGTAAAGAAGCAACAAACAGCGTTAGTTTTGTTATCTTAGGTCCAGTGAAACCATTAAGAAGTATACCAAATATTTATTTTATTTATTTATTTATTTAAGGATACCATCAATCCCGTCAGGGATTTTCACAGGAGTAAATTTGCAAAGAACTAAAACATTGTGATACATACTCCAAAATTTTACATAACATCTATAGGGTTACAAAGATAACAATTCAAGATACTCAAGAGGTTGTACCCGAAAAGTCAGTGCTTTTGCTTTTTTTTAAAGTTATCATAAGCTGTTTGAAGCGAACTCGAATGTGCGCGAGACGTTTCCACATCGAATCGAAAAAGGACGGCGAGAAATCACATCGCAGCCGCTTGGCGTAGGCTGTCTCGGATATCATGAGACATTTCACTCTCATTTCTATAGCATTTCAATTGCACGCGTTCACAGATGGACAACAAACGCGAGCTGCAGAATCTTAAATGAGCACGCCTTCTTTACGTGAGCACGCGTACATGTGTTTGAAAAGAACTGAAGATGAAAAAAAAGCGATAACAGCTTGCGGCAACAATGACGTCTCTAATTCTGCCTTTAATTCATCCACCCCTCCCCCCACTGCTATTGTCCCGTTCAGGAGATTTCGCATCTCAAGTGAAGAATACAGGCCAAACGAAAAAACACCAAATCACTATCATTATTCTTCTACATAATTCAAAGGCACTGACGAAATCGGCCATTCAGCTCTGTTATAACGACGTAAAATTGCACATCATGCGCGATTGGCGTTATAAACAATATGCAAATTATAACTTTTTCCTTATAAAGATACGCCAATAGGATCACGTCAGAGGCATAACACATTTGTCAAGCTTCACCACTCGAAGGAAGACACAACGCATTTAGCGTCAAAGCTTGAGACCAAGATACGTAAAATGAAGTTTCGGAAGCACAAGCAAGACATCCATGCATATTATGTGGTTTACTGAACGCGAAAGTGATTCGTCTTATTAGCCGTGAATATACGTATCTCCAAATTGAACAAATTGCATTGAGCCACGAAACTGAAACCTACGCACAGAAAGCTGGCCGAAGCTCATTTTGAGAATGAGCGCTTCGGCTAAAGCTTCTGAACCGAAGATGCGAAAGGCGTATACTCTTAACAGCGACTGAGAGTTCGCCTGTCCTGCTTCGGCATGAGTTGGCAGTCTCAAACCATGACCAACGGTAATAGTGCACTTTGATAACGATTGCGGAATGTGGTTGCGTGGAGACTGCACAAAATTTGAAAATTGAACCAATTACAACGATCTCCTATTCAAATGACGCAGTAGTGGTTAATGCACCAATCGGCCAATTCGTTGTTGCCTCCGCGCTGGTACAACAGGCTGAGGTTGAAAGCTATCTCCCGTCGCAGGTCAAATACCTCTGGCATCTTCTGCACAGCCGGTGGTGCGGCGAGTGCCCGTTGATACATGTTGACAGCCATGTGCGGGTAGCCCAGCTCGTGAAGAGCGCGGCCAACGTTAAAAAGGGCCTCCTGACAATCACTGCCTCGAGCACGCAAATAGCGGCACAAGAAGGTCATCCCTTGAGTGGCCAGCCAGTAAAACTTCCTTGGAGACTTCTGAACCCCTGCAGACTTTCGGCTCCCTGGACAATTTTGGTTTAGTGTCAACTGTTGTCCCGCCAAACGCATTAGGCTAATGCCTGAGCACAGCAACAGCATTGGCTCTTCCTTTCCGACATGGCGAAGAAGTTGCGTGTACTCTGCCAGAGCGTGCTTGTAGTTCGCACAGAGAAAAGCGTTGTGAGCGACGAGCACACCAAGTGGCAGGCTATTCTCGTGCTTGTATAATAGCCGGAGGTAGAATCCCTTCTTACGCCACGCCGGTATTTGGTTGGCCACGAGACCCAGCAAATTCCACGCACGTACTTGGTTCGGATACTTGAGCACCATGGCGCGGATGATGGCAAAGCTGTGCTCTACGTGGTCCGGGTCCTGGTAATGGGCTAGAAAGCTCAAGAACTCCAGCTCCTCAGTGCTCGTTGCGTCTTTATTGAACATGGGCGCGACGAGAACTTCCGTCGCGACTTGCCTCAGGTCGTCCATGCGGCCGGTCTCTTGCAGTGCTCGGTAGAGCTCGAGGAAGCATGCCTGCAGTTCTTCGACAGACACACCACTCTCCATTGTGAGCCAGCCCGGTGTGAAGCCGCGTTTCTCATGCAGTTCACGTAGTACCTTCATGCGACTCAAGTGATACGTATTTGAGTACACCGCATCGTATTCTTCTGCCGAACAGACAGACAAACAGTGTGCCCGCACCAGCGTCATGGCCGACTCAATAAAAGCCTCGCGCTGTCCGGAATCCCACAATAGCCGCGCCTGACAAAGCAGCACGGACGCCAAATCCTGCTGCTGCTCTGGCGTGCTGTCCTTGGTGTCCTGCAGCTGTCGGGAATCGGTGGCGAGACAGTCGATGGCCTGGTCCCGAAGCCCCTGCGCGTCCAACAGCTGGCCCAGGGAGAGGCGGGACGGTGCGTGGCGTGGTGCCAGCTCGCACGTGCGTTCGTACGCCTTTGTCGCCTCTTGGTGGCGGCCGAGTCGCTTCAGACATTCCGCGTATAGGAGCCAAACGGCTGCCGTCCCACAGTTGCAAGTGCGCACAAGCATGCGCAGCAGCGGTAGTGCATCGTTCTCGAATTCCGCTTCCATGAAGGCTTCAGCCACATTCAGCAAAAAATCGCCAGACTTTTCGGGGTCCAGCTCACGCTTCATTTCTCTCACAAGATCCATAACAAGATGCCGGCCACCCAGGTGTATTACACAAACCACAAGCTTCGTCTTTATGTCAATGCAAAGCTCAGCAGGCACCAGGCATCTCTCAAAGGACGTCGAGAGAGTCTTCAAGTAGTTCTGTAGGTGATTGCTTTGTGCCCCTCCGGCAGCGGCAGCAGCTGAACTCCGCAATGATTGTGAAGCACTAGCAGGGCAGCCTGAAGTGCATTTTCAGCGTCAGTTGCATCTCCAGCAGCGTGTGGATGTCTTCAGCTGTGATGTGCGCGGGAAACTTAGTGGCGGCATCCAGGAAGAACTCGCACAGCCGAAGGCAGGTTTTGACGACTGCGGAAGACATCCACAAGGCGTCGCGACAGCTGCAGGCATTCGTCAGGTTCCTCTATTCGACGTGCGAGGGCTGCGCATGAAACCAGCGCTCGATGTTCGTCACCCAGCTGCTCAGTACAGCGCACACAGTAAGCGCCGCAATTCCAAGTCGTGCGGATCAACCCTAAGAGCCCTAATCAGACACGAAAGCCGCTTTACGGACGAGACCCTGCTCCAGGCAAAGCTGCGCCAACCGGCTCCACTCGGAGGCGTCCTGCGTACCCAAGTAGGCCGCGATCAAGCCGAACTGCAACGATCGATTCGGATCTCGTAGCTCCTCGTAGATCATGGCGAGTGTCTGGAAGGGAAGCGGCGAAGTGGGCGCAAGCCGGACAATCTCGAGGCACATCTTGACAGCGTCCTCGTAACGGCCTCGAGCGAAGCACATGTTCGCCTCACCCATTAGTCCCCGAAGATAACGCGGCAACCCTTTCGCAACGTTTCTCGTTTCCTGGGGGCGATCCTCGACGACGTTTTCTTCCAGCGCGTCATCCTCTTCGGATTCTTCATCTTCGGACGCGAGGAACGAGTCTACACATTCTACTAATCTGTCAATCGTGGTCTCCGCGGCCGTGCCCATGGAATCTAGCATCTCGCACTGCCCTTCGTCATCGTCCGTGTCAGTCGCGTCACTGTACTCCGATGTCTGCGGGGTCGTTTCATCACTCACCCAGCTCTCCGATCAGCTGTCATCGTACAGCAAGTCGCCTTGATGCAGATAGCTAGTTAAGGCTATGTACTCATCTCTCTGGTCGTCGCTCATTTCGCCGAGACTGGGCTTGAACGAATCCGTCTCGTCTGACATCACCGCTGCTTATTCATGTTCACGATGATACCTGTACAGTGGCGACCACCCACAACAAAAAAGTGGTGAAGAGCAAAATAGGCGTGATCGTATTTTATCACGCATTAGCAGCAAACACTCTTATAACACCTAAAATTGTGGCACAAAGTTTGTCGAATGGACTTACGTCCCCATTTACATTATTCTATTTAGCAGTGGCAATGTTGGCAACTCGGGTCACTCCATAACATGAACTCAAGAGAACAGCCTCTATTGAAATTATATTGCGGGCCGCAGGTGGCTGCGCATTGTACACAGTAAGTGGCATTCCCTGTTATTCAAAAGGGAAGTCTTCCTAAATGTATGATCCAGCTAACCCGGGAAATATCAGACGCCGATCGAGTAATCAAAAGCCGAGAGGCATGTGTCATATATCATTCTGTGAAGCTTTACGTCAAGCATCTCGGTTTAACAGTCGGCATTGCAAACCTTAACTTCAATTTTTCAGTTTTACAAACAAACCAACTGATACTTTTTCCTATATACCGCTGACGTAGTCATTGTTTTATAGATAGGTGTTTTGTTCATTATACGTCCAAGTTCAGGCTATACACTTAAACTCTGCTAAACTCTGTTATCAATACCTTATAGTGACCAAATGTGAGAGCAAGAGAAGTTGTTGTTTTCCTCTGAACATGGCTCGTACCATATAGAGGGGATTGTCTGAGTACAAGGTGAATGATCTCAATATTTTACGCATTGCTTCTATAGCAACACTTGCTTGCTTGTTTGCTTGCTTGTTACTGTTTGGCTCGTACCCACTACAGGGGATTCTTCATTAAACCGGCAGTTATTGTATTGAGGATCAAATCATTTCATATTCGACTGAGGAAAACAAATAAAACAGATATCTACGGAATATAAAATTTAAAAATGCTAAAGTGACGTATGATTAAGGTAGATGCAGAACTGTAATAAAAATAATAACTGAATGTCAAAGAACTAGATTTCCATTAGGGATAACCTAACGAAAAAATCTCGTGTCTCTTAGGAATTCACAGACTGCTATGCACACTTTCCTGTTGTTGTGGCGCAAAGAAGCCCCAAGAAGAAAAATGTAACGCTTAATTTTCTGACTAAAATTTCTAAATTTTGTTTTTCCCTATTTCTGGAGAAACGTCACAGCAAGAGAAAACCACATACTCGCTGCGAGCCTCCCACTCTTCTTCTTCGCCTTCAAGAGTGGAACGCGACAGCGTTATCGGACCTCGTGCACATCGCTTTCTCAATCGCTAGCCCGGTTTTGGTTGTTGATGCATGCCTCAACCATGCCGCAAGTAAGCGAACGTCTTTGCACGCGACATTTGCATTTTAGAGCATTCCTAGAATCCACACTGCAAGTACAGTTATTAAGGGGTCCACTGCCCTATGATTCTTTCTTTAGCGAATCAATGGGGGCCCACATGCGTCCGTAAGGCAACAAGTGAACCTAGAAAGCCCTACACTTTGATGATGCGTTTGCTGATGATCATTGAATATGTCGAATACTTTTCAAAGAACTGGCCTTTAAGACGCCCACTCGTCAAGAAATACAAATTGTTTGACGCATGACGTGGTCCTATGCTTCCATATTGCTTGCATTAAGGAGACTCCATCGGCTGTACAGCATTGATATAGTTTTTTTTTTCAAAAAGTGTCACGAAATAGCGTGGCGCTGTGGTACAACGCTTCAAGCTTCCCACGTAGATGGCCCAAGTATTATCGCCACTCAGACCTGCATATTTTTTATAAACTATTTACGTTGCATCTTTCTCGGTTTATTGGTCACGGACAATTTTTTTTTTTTGCTCACAACCAACAACGCTGACGCCGGCACCGGATTTCTGCTAAACAAATTCTTTAACGCTTCGCGTTAAAAGTAACCACGATAAGTTTTGCGGTATATATAAAATAATTCATAAAACCACGCACAGCCGCTATTTCTTTTTTAAAAACTAATTTCCTTCGGACCACACTAGCTAGTGTAGTTCTATATTACCCTTCGTTGACAACTGAAGTACGGCACCCTGATCAACATCCAAGTGATACTGGTGAAAGCCGACCAGAATACAGTCATTTCCAGGTTCAGTTAACTTCACATAATTTCACTGACCGACTGACTGATCCTGGCAAGTGTCGAAGCGCAATGATGACGCAATAGAGTTGAAGAGACCATGCCCTGGAAAGTCCGGTGTCGGTGTCGACATCGTTTGCTGTGAGCGAAAAAAGACCATTGTTCGTGACATAAAAATCTCCATTGGCACAATTAATAAGAAACAGTGCATACTAGGTGCAATATAACCCAGATCATTGCTGTGGCAACCAGGTGTTCCACTACAGAGCCTTGCCAACGGTTGGAACTGCACTGAAGATTAGGCTTTACAAACATACACGTCCTGTGAACACGCGTCAAAGCAGGGGATGTAGAATCACAGTAGGCTGAACACTGGTACAAGCGTATACACTGTCATCGGGCGTCAGATCGCGTGAGTCGTGTAATGAATTGGTGGTTTAAAGCCGGCCAACCATGATGCACACACATAACATTACTGCGCATGTTCTGTTATGGGCACGTATTGTATGCATCGCAACTTCGATAGAGTATCAAGCGTGTAACTGCTGCTAGTTTAAAGCAAGCCGCCCATTACAAAGTGCAGATGCATTGGTACGTGCGTTGTCTTACACACATGTAGTGTGTGTACTGTTGTCGTAAAAATGCTGTTCAAGAGTGCGGGCAGCCAAGGGATGGCACACCAGCCCCGTGCCTCCCCTCCCCTCAATTTTTTTCGCCGTGGCATAGAAAGTGAAAAAGTAGCATTTCAAGGAGGTATACCCTTCCCTCCTTCAAGTCACGGAAGTATCTTTGCCCAGCAAACAATTCTGCCTACACGCCTGAGCGGAAACCTTTACAATTTTTTACATGCTATATATACTGCATCCTGACAAAAAATTCTGTTTCAGAGGGCGGAAACCTTTGCATTTGGCCTGTATATCTAACCCCTCACTCCTGCAAAGTACAAGAACATATTTTAAACACATTTATTTTCTGGATTCTAACAGCATCCTCTACAGTACACAACATGGTTTCCGGCGCATTCAGTCCCGGGCCTCAGCTGGCAGAATTCGCACATGACATATATTTACCTCTTGACTTAGTCAATCATGCGAACGCATTATTCCCTGAATTTTCTAAAGCATTTGACACTCTCATTCATTCAAAACTACTGTATAAGCTCAATGTTTTGCTAACTATTCAGCTGCTCGTTTATTGGATCAGTAGTTTTCTTTCAAATCGTCAACAATTTGTATCTTTGAACACTTTGTATTTGTCCGAAACACAAATATCTTCCACAGTGCCCCAGGGATCCGTGCCAGGGCCCTTACTTTTCCGGTTGTATACATTGACGAGCTACCAGGCGTGGTTTCCACTGAAATTTATCTTTACGTTGATGATTGTGTTCTGTATCTCGTAACTATTTCACCTTAAAATCGTCACACAGTCAGTGCTTCATTCTTCGGTTCTTGTAGGCGGTGTGAAAAGTGGAATATGAATATTAATTTTCAAAAGACAGCTGCCATGTCTCATACTAGGCTGAAAGCCCCATAAATAGCCCCGCCGTGGTGGTCTAGTGGTTAAGGTACTCGGCTGCTGACCCACAGGTCACGGGTTCGAATCCCGACTCTTGCGGCAGCATTTCCGATGGAGGCGGAAATGTTGTAGGCCCGTGTGCTGTAAGGGATGGGGGAGCGTGGTGTAACACGCTCCCCCATCCTACAGCACACGGGGCTACATCATACAGCAACGGGCCTACACCACGCTACCATCTTGTGGTAGCGTGGTGTAACCGGGTGGAGGAAACGAACGCTGACAAGAAGAGGATACGAAAAACAAACAGGTTTATGGCACTATTTACACTTATTTACAGAAAAGAAAGGTTAGGGGTTTCACAACCCACGAGCGTGGTGGTTGAACCGTTACATGGTTCAGAGCGACGTCCAGCACTCTGCGGCCTTGTCGGGCCTTGTCGGGCTCCTCCTCTCCGAGTGGAACACCAATCACACACACACACAACAGGTGAGGGGGACGAGCATGCACGGTCCACGTGAACGTCCAATATTGAGTCGTGAACACTGCACTGCAAGGTGGTGCCAGCAGGGCTCTTCCTGGTCGTGTAGTGTGCCGCTAGTCGAGAGTTCCCACGATCCTGACAGCGTACATCAAAGGGTCTGCCGCACAGCTCGCCTAATTAGCGGGGTGATTTGCGGTGGCCGCCGCGGTCTCTTCCAGGAAGATGCTGTCTTTGTTGGCCTCTCTCGAACGGTTAACGGCGTCTTGGTGACATGACGTCTCATCCTCCGGCTAGCACGGACAATGCCTGACGAGCATAGGCAGCCGGCCGGTCGTTCTTGATTGGGGATTAAAAGGAGCGCCGCTCTTCTGTCAGCTCTGGCGCCGGTCACAACAGACTCCCCGTCGCCAGATGAATCACCTAGGTCATCAGGCACCGCTGCTGCTTGAAGGGACGACAAAAGGGTCCGCATTTGAAAGACGAGAACTCGCCTTTGCCTGCCGCATTGTCTGGGTAATTACTCAAATCTTCGACAGCGTCTGGCAGACTGGGCGCCGAAAGGATTGAGAGCCTCCCCAGTGGACCGGCTTACGCACAATGGCGTCAGACGAATTTCCAGGCCAAACTTAACAGCTCCTCCGCCGCCCGAAAAATCTCGGCTGGCCAGCGCTCCCAACCGCTGGGCACGAAGAGAATGGC